AGAGAGAGAGAGAGAGAGAAAGGAGAGAGAGACAGACAGACAGACAGACAGACAGACAGACAGACAGACAAACAGACAGACAGGCAGACAGACACCCTACTCCCCACCTCCTGTCTTTTTTCTCCATCCACCCACTCCACCTGAGATCCGTTTTCATAACCGGCCCAGTTTTCAAGAGTTCTGCCAGTTTGCACATGTCCCGCCATGTTGACTTACCCATTTCAGTCCCGGCCAGAATCCGTCTAATCTCCAGTGTCCAGTCAATTTCCCGCCAGCGGCAAGACCTCACATGTTGTTAACCGATTTTTACTTATCAATACCCTCGCACCAAACCCACGTAGTCGGCAAACAGTCGTTCTTGTGCGTGCGTCATCATTGATATTGTTATGATAGCTTCGATTTTTGTCGGTTAGGTTTAGTTTAGTTTTAATTGGAAGTTTACGGCACTTTCAACATAACCAGGTCATATAAGTGCCCGAGATTTGAGGTTTTTAGTTTTATTGGACTAACAAAATAATTAGGTCATATAAGTGCCAAAGGTTAGAGGTATCACCAGAGAGTAACGTACAAAGAAAAGAAAGAGAAGAGATAAGGATGAAATAATGTTTTAATATAGGAAAGGAGGTGGAGATATAAGAATGATATACTATCTTTTTTAAATAGGAAAGGAGGTAGAACGATAATGAAGAAAAAGTTTTGATTATAAATGAAGGTGGAAAGATAAAGTTTTTATTTAACATAAAAAAAAAAATATAGGAAAGAAGGGGGAGAGGTAGGCTAAGGACTTTACACGTTGACAGAAAAAAAGAGCAACCCGACAATGTTTGGCGACCTATTATATTTACAGCAAGATAGTTAGTTTTAGTAAGAGTTTTATGGCACTTGCAACACAATAAGGTCATATAAGTGACGAAGATTAGACGTGTTACAAGAGAGTAACAAACACAAAAAAGAAGGAGGGAAGATCAGGATGATAGATGTTTGATAGGAAAGAAGGAGCAAACCACACTCGAGCATCCGCCAACTGCCCACATTCCTGAGTGTGGAGGATTTTTATCGAGTACCTCGGTCTCTCTGCTGGGATGTATCTCTCCCGGCACAGGTTGGCTCTGGCAGGGAGGGTCGATGTCCACCTTCTAAATTCTAAATTGTGTCTATGTATGCGCGGAAACACCTACATTTTTAAAAGAATCGTCCTTCACAAAAATCACCCCCCCTAAAAAAGCAACAACCCCCCACACAGTTTTAGATTTAGTAAGAGTTCTACGGCATTTGCAACACAATACGGCCATATAGGTGCCGAAGAATAGAGGTGTCACAAGAGAGTCACAAACACAAAAAAGGGGGGGGGGGATAAGGACGATAGAGGTTTGATAGGAAAGAAGGAGCAAACCACACCCGAGCACCCACCAACCACCCATAACAACCCACACAAACAATCAACTAAAACAACAAACAAACAAGGCCTCCAAAAATAGAAACCCATTAAGAACGGCGA